CGTTACGTTACGTACGTTTACGTTACTTAGTGTATATATATATATATATATATATATATATATATATATATATATATATATATATATATATGTTAAGGTCATTAACCTCCACACCATTCCTTCACTGATATGCAACTGGCATGTGTGTCGAAATTTTATTTATTTATTTATTGGCAAATTTAGCTGTTGTCAGCTGACCTCAGAAGTATTGGGCCTAACGGGTATCGTATGTCGTATAGGTTGGGTAACATAAGTATGTTTTATATCTTAACGTTTGTTAACAAGAAGTTAGACTGTAACTCTAAGAACAGTGGCAACACTAGTACGAACTTTTGCTGTGATAGATTAATTGGTTAACTATCAACCGGAACTTTTACTTAATCTTTATATATGTGTGTGTTTTTTCGTAACGCATTAAACTGTTAAACTGTTTCACTTATGATTTTGACCTTTTATTTTATGATAGGAACATTTTTCTGTAATTTGTGGGAGTAAACCCTAGTAGTTACTTATACTATGTTTCATCTCCATATTTTAAAGCAATTAAGAGAATTTGGTTTTAATTCAATATACTTTACATTGCACACCACTCAACGTAAGTTCCTCATCCTGCTTTGTTTTAAATTTTTGCGTACGTTACGTTGTAATGATTGTAATACTTATGTAATGCTACCGAGGTAAAAACTGCAATATGTAATACAGCTACTAAAGTGTGAAATGATAGGCTGATTTATGGTACTAATATTACTGCTAGACCAGCTGATATTGTAATTTGAATAGTGGTGGACAGAAGTCAGATCATATACATAATAACTGATGGTTTGTCTAGGAAGGACATCAACATATTACAAAGAATGTAGAGACTGACTGCTAGAAAGATTCCTAGTTAAGTCGCCCCCAGTGGCACAGCGGTATGTCTGCGGAGTTACAACGCTAGAAACCGGGTTTCGATACCCGTGGTGGGCAGAGCACAGATAGCCCGTTGTGTAGCTTTGTGCTTAATTCCAAATAACCAACCTAGTTAAGCCATATAACATTTACGCTGCGAGGAGAGGCGTAGTATCTTGGATTTCTTTTTCTTCTGTGGAATGTAGAAAACTGCGCTTGATTCGGACATATATACATAATTGTTTGGGGATGGATGTCTTTGAATGATGGAATGGAAAGGTTTAAAATGCGAACTTAAA